TCATTTTTTTTTGCATGTATCTGTCCAATTTTCCCAACACCATTAGTTGAAGAGACTGTCTTGACTCCAGTGTATGTTCATACCTCCTTTGTCAAATATTAATTGAGCATAGTGGTTTGGGTCAATACCCGGATTCTCTATTTTGTTCCTTTGATCTATATGTCTGTTCTTGTGCCAGTACCATGCTGTTTTGAGAACAGTGGCTTTGTAATACAGCTTGAAATCTGGTATTGAGATCCCTCCTACTTTGTTCTTCTTTCTCAGGATTACTGTGGCTATTCAGGGTCTTTTTTTATTCCAGATGAATTTTTGAAGAGTTCTTTCTAGGTCTGTGAAATATGACATTGGTATTTTTAAATTTTTTAAATAAATCTTTATTGTTCAGATTATTACAAATGTTCCTCTTTTTTCCCCCCCTCCATTGCTCCCCTCCACCAGGTTCCTACCCCACCCTCTGCCCTTTCCCCACCCCCGATTGTCCTCATCCATAGGTGCACAGTTTGTTTTCAGTCTCTTCCCCCACCCCCACTTGCCTTTTCCCCGAGAATCGTCAGCCCACTCCCTTCCATACCTCTGATTCTATTATATTCACCAGTTAATATTGTTCATCAAATTTTTTTAATCCCCTTGGTTTTTAGATTCACTTGTTGATAGATACATATTTGTTGTTCACAATTTTTATCTTTATCTTCTTCCTCTTCCTAAAGAACCCCCTTCAGCAATTCATATAATTCTGGTTTGGCAGTGATGAACTCCTTTAGTATTTTTTATTTGTGATGCTCTTTATCTGTCCTTCAATTCTGAGTGATAGCTTTGCTGGGTAGAGTATTTTTGGCTGTAGGTTCTTGCTATTCATCACCTTGAATATTTCTTGCCATTCCCATCTGGCCTGCATGGTTTCTGTTGAGAAATCAGCTGATAATCGAATGGATGCTCCTTTATACGTAACTACCTGCTTTTCTCTAGCTGCTTTTAATATTCTCTCTTTGTCTTTTGCTCTTGGAATTTTAATTATGATGTGTCTTGGTGTGGTCCTCTTTGGATTCCTTTCGTTTGGGGTTATGTGTGCTTCCTGGACTTGTAAGTCTATTTCTTTCCCCAGGTGGGGGAAGTTTTCAGTCACTATTTCTTCCAATAGGCTTTCGGTATCTTGCTCTCTCTATTCTTCTGGGACCCCCATAATTCTGATGTTGGTTTGCTTGAAATTGTCCCAGAGGTTTCTTACATTATTTTCAGCTTTCTGGATTCTCTTGTCTTCTTGCTTCTGCGGAGGAGTGTCTTCTGGCTCTTTGTGTTCCAAGTCTTTGACTTGATTCTTGCAATCTTCCAGTCTGTTTTTAGGACTCTGTATAATATTTTTATTTCAGACAATGCATTCTTTATTTCTAGTTGATTCCTTTACATATCCTCACAGGTCTCATTTATTTTATTGGCCTTTTCTAGGAAGTTCTTGAAAAACCCTATAGCTTTGAACTCAATGTCCATTCTTTTACTATCCTCCATTTCCTTCCTTTGTGTCCTGCCTCTTGTCTGCATTTTAGTTGTTTCCCTGATTTGATGAAATAGTTTTGTGTGCTACGTGTCCTGGTAGAGCCCAGTAGCACAGCCTTCCCAGTTACCTGAGGTGGACAGTCTTGGTGCAGCCCTTAGTGGGCTGTATGTGCAGTCTTGTTGTTAAGCTTTGTTTGTTGTTGGTATTACTGGGAAGCATTGATCTCCAAGCCAATTGGCTGTGAGGATCAGCAGTGTCTCAGCTAGGAGAGCTTCTGTGTTCCGCTTGAATGGAGCGGAGTCTCGGGTGGCACAGACAGCTTTGGTTCCCCGTCAGTTTTGCCTTAGGAAAGTCCTATTCATGACACCAATAACCCCAATATAAGTGACCACCTGAGAAAAAAGAGAATTAGGGGAGAAAAAAGAGAACACAAATGATACACGAGGAGAGAGAAAAAGATGAGAGAAATAAGAAAAAGGAAGTAGCCGAAACCGGTTTGGCTCAGTGGTAGAGTGTCGGTCTGCAGACTGAAAGGTCCCAGGTTCGATTCCGGTCAGGGGCATGTACGTTGGTTGCGGGCACATCCCCGGTAGGGGGTGTGCAAGAGGCAGCTGGTCGATGTTTCTCTCTCATCAAATTTTCTAGCTCTCTATCCCTCTCTCCTCCTCTCTGTAAAAACTCAATAAAATATATTTTTTTTAAAAAAAGAAGAAGAAAAAAAAAGAAAAAGGAAGTAAAAGGAGAATCCTATATAATAAAGAGGGAATATGCTAATTGATCCTCATGCTGTCACAAGGATGGCAGTGCCCACAGCCAATAAGGAGGAGATATGCTAATAGACTGACCTTCCCTCAAAGATGCTGGCACCCACAGCCACAAGATGGTGGCACCTAGTCACCTCAGCCTCACCGGAAAGCATGCATGCAGAAAGGCTGGGCCTGCCTCTGGAGTTCCCCAATCCCCTCAACCCCCCAGCTTCCCAGGGCTGGCCTGAGGCATAGGTGAGCCTTGGATGGTAGCTGCCCAGTTAATGCCCAAGGCACAAGCAAGCCTCAGCCACCCAGGGTTGGCTGCCCAGCCGTGCAAGGTATTCTGGAGGTGCATGCAAGCCTCAGATGGCAGCTGCCCAGCCATCCAGGCCCAGTCCAAGACACAGGCAAGCTTCGGCTGCCCAACCACCCAGGGATGGTCCAAGGTACAGGGAAGCCTTGAAAGGTGGCTGCTCAGCCACTCAGGGCTGCTCAAGACTCAGGTAACCAGGGCCTGCTGAGCCTTGCACTGCCAGCAGTGGCAGCAGCAGAGGTGTGATGGGTCATCACCTTCCCCTGATCACCGGTCACTGGTTCATCTCCTGCCCCTGAGGGCTCTTGAAATGTGAGAGGAGGCAGGCCAGGCTGAGGGACCCCCTTCCAGTGCATGAACTTTCATGCACTGGGCCTCTAGTATATATATACCAGAAGAGAAAACACCACAGAACAAACAGATAAACAACAAAAATGCAAACACCCAGCAAAGAGAGTGGGGGCAGAATCTGTAGAGGCTGAGCTTATATACAGAAAATAAGGTTAAGAATCAGATGAATATGGGGTGGTCCTCAGTTCAGTGTAGTGAAAGTAGAAAGGGAATGGGTGGATAAGAAGAAAGGGAACAAAAAGATAATATTAATAATAATAATAATAATAATAATAAATTTACAAAAATTGATTTAAAAATGTATAACAATAAAAAATAGCAAATAAATAGAATGATGGGGAAATAATGTGAAAAGAAATAGAAAATAAAGTAATAAACTAAAAAAGGAAAGGAAAAAAGAAAAAAGAGAGAACAAAATAATAAAAAGTAACAGTAAAAATGAAAAAGTCAAGTGTCATTCCTTTGGTTGGCTTAAGATCCCAGTCTTCTATACTGTACTAACAGTGAAGACCTTCTGGTAGTGAAGACCTCTCTTTAGGCCAGTCCCTTTGGACTCTCAGGGACTATTTATATTTTTTTAAATCCTTTGTACCATTCAGGAGGGAATCTGGGTGTGGCTGTATTGGTTGCCTGGAGACTGGAGGAAGGGGCCATCTCTTCAGGACAAAATGGCTTCCCAGATCCCGGGCTCAGGCATGACCCAGTGCCAGACTCGCTGCCACTTCTCCTGGGCCCCAACTCTCCCCAGCCTCTTCCCAGACTCCACAAGTCCGCACCTCCTCCTGAACCCCAGCCACAGATGAGTGTCTGTATCTGAAAGTTCAGTGAAGCAAAGCACAGGCCACAGGGAGGGGAAAGACTGCTCCTCTGCGAGCTCAGCTCCTGCTGGCACTGCATGGTCTGATCAGCCCTTCAGGCGGCCCCCTCTGGGCTCAGTCTGCCATGACTATGGACCCAGAGCTAGAATCCCCTGCCTCCAGCAGTCCTGTGGACATCCTTTCCACAGTCAGACACTGTGCCTGTCCCCAGGGACATGGCTTTGTGCCGTGCGGTTTCCCTCTGACCCTCAGGGCTCAGAGGTCTGGCAGATCTCTCCTGCCCAGATCCTTGATTTTACCCTTCTCCTGGTGTCCTATTCCCTTACCGGCTGCAAATTGTCGCACCAGCTGAGTCTACTTTGCCAGTTCTGGATGGGTGTTATTCATCTCAGCTGCTCATTCTATCTGCTCCAGGACAAGGCTTAGAACACAAGTGTCTATTCTGCCACCATTTTGTCCTCTCCCCTTCCAATGTTTGAGCACTGTGATATATTTCATTTTAGACTAGAGGCCCAGGGCATGAATTTGTGTACAGGTGGGGTCTGGCCAGCCTGGCCCCAATCAGTGGATCAGGGCTGGGCCTTTCAGGAAGAAGAGATGGCAGGAGGTTGGCCGGCAGGCCACCCTGACCAGGGCTCAATCATGGCCAGGCTGGATGGAGAGGGGGGCTGTGGTCAATTAGCCAGCAGGCTCTACCCCCAGATTTGGGGTAGGACCAGCTGGCCTTGCTCCCAAATGAGGCTGGGGGAGGGGCCATGAGAGGTTGGACAGCCAGCCCCACCCCCAATTGGTGTGTGGGGGAGTAACTGGGGCTGGAGATGGCTGTGTGAAGGGCTATGGGCTGATAGGGATGGTGAGGGCCCATTGAGAGTGGGGTCAGCTGGGGGGAGGGGCTGTGGGCAATGGGCCAAATGGGGTGGAGGCCTATCAGGAGCCAGCAACCTAGGGGAAGGGCCATGGGTGGTTGGCCAGCCAGCCCTGCCCCTGATCAGAGTGGGGAGGGCAGATTGAGGGCAGAGCTGGCTGGGGGAGGGGCCGTGGGCCAACCGGAATGGTGGGGGCCCATCAGGGACGGGGCTGGCTGAGAAGATGGGCTGCAGGAGGTTGGCTGGCCGGCCCCACCCTTGATTGGGCACTCGCTGGCCACAATGGATGTAATAGTGACCAGTCATTCCAGTCATTATGGCATTCTGGTCACTGGCTATATATATAGAGAGAGGCCAGTGCACAAAATTTATGCATGGGTGGGGAGTCCCTCAGCCTGCCCTGCATCCTCTCCAATCTGAGACCCCTCAGATATCCATCTTGCAATTTGGGACTTCTGGCTCCTAACTGCTCACCTGCCCGCCTGCCTGATTGCCTCTAACCACCTCTGCCGTCTGCCTGATCACCCCTAGCCATCCTTCCCTGCCGGCCTGATTGCCCTCAGCCACCCTCCCCTGCCAGCCTGATTGCCCCTAATCTTGGGGTGTCGAACTCAATCAGAGAAGGGGCCAAAATCTAAAATCCAGCCTAAATCGCGGGCCGAATGGTTTACTGAACAGTCATAAACTGTCATTGTGATGGAAACGCAGCGGAGTGCAGTGATGACAGTGCAGTGCGAGCCACATTGCAAGGCCTGGCGGGACGGATTTGGCCCGTGGGCCTTGTGTTTGACACATGTGCCCTAATCTGTCTCTGCCCATGCCACTGTGGCCTTGTCCAGAAGGAGGAGCAGAAGACTGGAAGATGTCTGGTAGACCCAGTCTAATTAGCATATTACCCTTTTATTAGTATAGATTATAAGAATCAATAATATTTCTCCTTTAGTTATATCTCCCCAGGACATTTTCTAGTATTGAGACCATTGATGTGTTGTTCTTGATTTCAGGGCACAATCCAGATAGTGACACCACAGATAGAAGACCAAGACGTTGGGGTATTTACCGAAGGAGATATAACAGTGTGTCTGAACAAGTAAGTTCTGGCACTCATCCTTCCTCCCACAAGCAACAAGATGGAGATTCAGCAACAATTGACGCTCACATGGACACTGGAGTAAGATAGTAAGTGACCAGTGAAATATATAACCTTGGAGTTAAATATATCATTCTTCTCTCCAACCAGGAAGAATGAATAATGATAAGATCAAGTTTAATCGTTCAGAAAACTTTATTTTAGCTGAGGTGTCAATGGGGGTGAACATGTATAGAAGACTTCCTGAGTATATATGGAATACTTTTTCTCCACTGCCCCACAGTGCTCCCTATGCCATTCCACGCTATCATTGGAGAGGCCATTTTCAGGAACAAGTCCAAACCCATATTAACAAGGAAAGAGAGAAAAATCCTCCCAAGACAAAAATGGAGGAGAAGAAGCAGGATGAGATATCAGGAAGCTGGTTCAAGATCACAGTGAGTGTCCTAGAAATCTGGAACTAATGTGAACAGAGGGAGCTGTGTTAGATTCGTGTAGAAATGCTAAATACCTTTCTGAAGCATAGGAGTTGGCAATGTGTCTTTTTATTAGTAGGAGTTAATATCCTAGGCCATATAAGGGCAGATTTAGAGAATCATTATAAAGAAAACAGACTGCTGAAACTGGTTTGGCTCAGTAGATAGAGCGTCGGCCTGCGGACTGAAGGGTCCTGGGTTCAATTCTGGTCAAGGGCATGTACACTGGTCGTGGGCACATCCCTGGTGGGGGGTGTGCAGGAGGCAGCTGGTAGATGTTTCTCTCTCATCGATGTTTCTAGCTTTCTATCCCTCTCCCTTCCTCTCTATAAAAAGTCAATAAAATATATATTTTTTTAAAGAAAACAGACTGATTGCAAAGGAGGATGAGACAAGTAGTCTAAAAGCAAAGGAGGAAACTACTGCTAAGGAGATGGAGCAACTCCATACCTGAAGACACAGTTTGGCCCAAACTGAATGTAGTAGAATATTTTGTCCCTGGGGTCCTTGTGAGAAATGCTAAGTAGGATCTCTTAGAACTTTATAAAAGGAAGTACATGTTAAACATTTTAACTTGATTATTTGAGAAAATCTATTTGAATGGAAAGAATGGTATTTAGGGAATTCATGTCTGGTACAAAAGCTAGCAATAATGGATACTATCCTATCTTAAACAGTTGTTTTAAAGGCTGAAAAGAAAACCTGGTTGGGTTTATTCATAACCTTAGATCCCATTATGTCAATCTTCTCTCCTATCTTTTCTTTGGCTTCTAGGTTCCATTCGGCATAAAATATGATGAGAAGTGGTTGCTGAATTTGATTCAGAAGCAATGCAGCACCCCCTTTACTCCAGTCAAAGTAAGAGAAGACAATAAGGTGGATGAGAAGTAACAGGGCCGATGAGCAGTGGCTCTGTTCTCATATTCTTTTTCTCTTGTCACTATCCCTATAGTTTCACTATGAGAAAATGCAGGCCCACTTCTTCGTTGAGAATGCCAGTATTGCCTTTGCATTGAAGAATGTTAGTGGCAAGATTTACGATAAGAATAATGAGAAGGTATGTGTCAAAGGCATGACTAGGACTGGCTAGGGGCAAGAGGGCAGGACAGGGGCAAGTTCTTGCTTAATCCCAAGGCTCAGATTTCCTGGTGCTTACCCAGCCTCTCTTGTGTTCTCTGCAGATATCTATCTTTGTCATCCCCTCTAATGCACCCCAGGATGTGCAGGAGGAGCTGAAGTCAGAAAAGGAGGATCAGGTAAAGGTAATGCAGACTCCAGATCAGTTGTGCATCCATATTCAAACCCACTTCTTCTACCCCACCATTTGCCCCCCTTCACTACCTCAGAGTCAGAGCCACTGAACCCCATGGGGTGATGACAAGGGACAGTGATGTGGATTTGTTAGAAAAGGAAGAGACTGGGGCTACAGGCATCTTGGCTCTCTTTCTCTGGTCTATGTGGTTCCTTCCCATAATCACAGGTGAAGTCAGCAGAGGAATTGGACCAGGGAAAAAAGCTGGAGCCAGATGACATGAACGCAAAAAGAAACCCCTCATGCACCACCTTACCAGATAATTCAACCAACATAAGGTTAGTTGTACTCTCTTCCACCCCTGGTGAGCCTGACCTACCCTTGATAATATATGTTTGCAGAGGCAACAAATAGATCTTCTGGGAGTATCATAGACCCTCCACTCTCTTTTTCGTGTCCTTCACCTGTGCTTAGAGGTATCCTTTCCTTCCTCTGATCTGCTCACCTGTTCTCTTGTCTAGGGTCAGTTTCCTGACTCTGCAAGTAATCATGGGATCACAGGCACACAGGGGTCCATGAGGAGAAAAGGCAGTGATCATAAGAGGGGATTACACATCCAGCATGCCCTCCTAAGATTGTACTCTAGGAAGCGTGATATCCCCTCATCGCCAGTACTAGGGGTGACCAGTCTTGGGTCAGATGCTGGTGACCTGGGATGGGAAAGGTCCTCCAACACAGGTCCTCATGTTGAGACAGGTCTTCCTATTCCGTGCTGAGAAGAGCTACCCTCCCCTGCCCTGAGATGAGCCCTCTTTCCTTTGATCCAAAGGGGGCTCTTCTCCAAACCCAGGCAGACATGGGAAGTTTACTGCCCTATGTTAAGGGCTGGGTGGCTGCTGTTATGACATTAGTTCCTCTGGAACAATGCCACGAGTTGGGCTCTCCTTGAGAAAAACCAGGTTTCCCTGAGTTAAGGGTCCAGAAGTGAGCCACCACAGTGAGCAGAGAGTCTCTGGAGGCAGAAGTGGAAGGCAGAAGGCACAAAGGGTTGAGGATAAAGGACAGTCCTCTCAGTGCCGCTCCCTCCACATACCAACATCTCCTGTTTGGTCCTTCAGAGAGGAACCCTGGGTAGCCCGACATGGGTAGGATTGCTCAGAAACCAACTAAGATAGTCACAGGCACATAGTGGTCCATGAGGAGAGAAGGCAGTGATCATAAGAAGAGACCACACATTCCCCCTCCCTAAGCTGAGCTGGGCCTGATCTTTTCTTTATTCCTTCTGGGGAAGGTCTCCTGATCCTATGGTTGTTGTGTTTCCCATGCCCACTTCAGACTCTCACAGGTGACAAAGGCTCAACCAATATCCCATGGGATCCAAGTTCAACATGTTCAAGTTTTTCATTCCAAACTGGGATCCCAGAGCCCAACAGTGGCAGGTGCAGGAAAAGTATGCAGCTCTAAATGCTGCTCTTTATGTCACTGGAGAAGGGAGTCAGGAAATCTAGAAGGGAGCTACCTAGCAGAATGGAGAATGAGTGGGAGTAGGGCAGGAGGGAGGGCGAGTACTCTTCCTATGGATCAGTTCTTGGGGAAGGTCCCCAGGTCCCTGGAAGGCTGTGACACTAGAGTACAGCTGGGCTATATGTCTGGTGTAGGTTTGCTTGCTACAACAAGGCAGGGATGCTCTGCAGATTCAGTTACATTTCTGTTTTGTCTTTATTTTGGCAGCTCCATCCTGGAATTGTTCCCCAAATTATTATGCCTGGTAAGTGTATTTCTCTGTGACTGACTCCTTTAAGTGGCACAGACATTTACCACAACCTGCTCTGGACCCCTTTAGGTCTGACTCAAGTTACATTTTTGTATCAGACCCTTAATCCTCATCTGTGGATTGGCCCATGTGGGAATCTGATAAAGGCTCTGGACCTTCTTCACACAAGTTCTCCACAGGCTCCAGGGCTCCCATGATGATGGTACAAGTGTAGTCCTGCTCATGGAATTTCCAGGGTTCTTTTGCATCTGACTTCTGACAACCCTCTCCTGGGTCCTTCCTTTTCCTGATCATTCAGTACCACCTGTTGGTCTGAAAGGCTGACTTCCTTTTCTCCAGGATGACCAGGAGCCTCCCCCACCAACTAATTTTGAGATTGAAGCCCACAAGAATGTACCATCCTGCAAGGTGAGGAGGGGGAATCAAGCAGGATTTCAGGTAGTGAGTGAAGATGGGGTATCAGCCGTGATCCTGAGGACTGTTGTGATTTTAGGGAAGTTTCTTTGGATCTGACCCACTGAAGAGTCTAGTCTTGCAATTTCTGCAGCAGTAAGTACTCCTGGAAACACCAGGAATCGGGGGACCTGGGACTGCTGTTTGGGACTCTCACATCTCATTTGGGGCCTGGTTAACAAAGCAGCTTGTCCCCTTTGCTCCACCACAGGTATTACTCTATCTATGACTCTGGAGACCGGCACTGTCTCCTCTGTACTTACCATGACGATGCCTGCTTCTCCCTGACCATTTCTTTCAACCCCAAGGACCCAGCCCCGTGAGTATCACAGCTCAAACTCTTTTTCTGTTGGGGGGGGCGGGGTTTTCAGCAGAAACCAGTCAGCTCTTGGAAGCACCCCCATGGCCAGACCTCCACACCCTATTCCTCTTTTTTCTCCTAGAAGCAGCTTGTTTGAGTACTTCAAGGATAACAGGAATATGAAGAACCTCAAGGACCCCAGTGCGTGTGGGGTGGGGAAGATTGGGCAGGGAATGGGGCATGAAGGGTCTCTCATAGGGCCCAGGGAGTGGCAACATTGACCTTTGCTGTTCTTCCCCTTCAGACCTGCATTTTCGACTGCTGAAACATACAAAACGTGACATTATATGCACCCTCTGTATGTTGCCCAAAACTCAGCATGACCTGAGCTCCTTTGTGGTGGACATGTTGTTCCAGTCGGTGAGCACCTGCTTCCTCCCTCAGACAGGCCAAGAAAGACACAGGTGTGTGGGAGCTGTAGATGGTGACTGAGCACCTGTGTTCCTCCCTTTTAGGAAAAGATGCTCTGCTTCTGTGTCAATGGGGTGTTCAAGGAAGGTGAGTGCCTGTAGAGTTCCCTATCCAGATGTCCACTGCTCCCTCCCCCTTGCTGGGCTCCCTCTCAGAACTCTCCCAGCTTCTTATAAGCCCTGCACAGTTTGGTAGTTGGGAACACAGATATGGGGTTTGATGGCTGTCATCCCAGATCCTGACTGGAAGAACTTGGGCCCATTACTTAATCTCTTATTTTCCTCATTTATGAAATGGGACTAATAACACCTATGGCTGAAAACAGTGAATTAAATGAACTTGTGAAGTGGTTGTTCTGGGGCCTGGCACATAGTAGGAACCATGTTAGTGGGAAGAGATTGCTCCTAATGTTGCCCTCCCAATTCCCCGCACAGTGACTCCCAGAGAATAGTTGTCTCCTTGGGCATGAGTATGCAGTCCCACCCTGACTTGGGAATGCTGAGTGAGTGTGAAGCATGTGTGACTCCAAGGGGGTATTGTTTGTTGTTGTTGAAGTGGAAGGAAGGTCTCAGGGCTCTGTGCGTGCCTTCACCCGGACTTTCATCACTACCCCTGCCAGCGATTCCAGGTGAGTGTTATGCTCTGGGTGGGGACATACAGCCCAACCTGGGCTCATGGCTGTGGCAATGTGACGGTGCATATTCTCAGGGTTTTCTCAGTGTTGTGGGAAGCCAGCAGGTTGATATAAGGGATAGTCCTTCATAGGGGTTAAGAGTGTGGGCTCTGGAGTTAGAACACTGAAAGTGTTTCAGGTTTCTTTCAGGTTCTCTTCATGGCACCAACACTCACTTTTAGATTTGTACCTGAGTGAAATCCGTGACCCTCTCTGTGACCTGTGTCTTCCTCTGAAAATGGGATTAAACTGTCTTTTCCCTTGGGCTGTTTCACTGAGTAAATGCAATGGGGCTAGGGGTACAAACCTAGTGAAGCTGGTAGGCAATCTCTCCAAGGGGTGGGAGGTGGGAAGGAAAGAGGAATCTGGGGAGCAGATACAGGTGGGAATGGGAGCAATCTGGTCACTGAGTGGCAGTGGAAGCAGGATAATTGTTGAGGGTGTGGGATTGTTTATCCATCAGTTGTCTGAGGTATCATTTTTCTCCAGTCTCTGCATCATGAATGATGAACTGTTTGTGAGAGACGCCACCCCCAACACAACTCAGAGTATGCATCCCATAGAAGTGCCTACACCCACCACCAGCTCCATGACCACCCTCTCCCAGGAGCAGCAAGAAATGGTGCAAGTTTTCTCCACCAAGTCTGGAATGAGCCTCCAGTGGTCTCAGAAGTGAGTGCTGGGTGTGCATGGGGATAGGATGGAGCTGGGAGGAGCAGAGGAGTGAATAATAGAAACTTGCAGGTAATTTGTTTTGCTCATTTATTTCACCTGTCCCTCTGAACATTTCTCTCTCATTGTGTATAAACAACACAGTTGTTTTTAACAGGTATGTATTCCTTTATGGAATTATTTATTTCTTGGACCTCATTTTTTTATTGACACATTTGGATTTCAGGAATTTTTCCAACATAGAGCTTATTTCGTTGCATATATAAATGCGAAGGCATATTTGTCACATAGTTTATGAAATGGCAGGGGGTTATCAGATTGACTCCACTTTTGTCATAATGGAGTCTCCTGCCCTTCCTCCCTCCCCAGGTGTCTTCATGATAACCACTGGGACTACACGAGGGCTGAACAGGTGCTCACTCTGTACAAGGTGAGGTCTGGGAATTTGGGCCAAGTGAGTGAAGAATGGATGGCCTGGGGATGAGACTCAGGGCTCCTGGCTGTACTAGTCTCCCAACTAGCTCCCTACACTTCCTCCAGGACAAGTACAAGATCTCAGAGGAGGCCCTCCCACAGGCTGATCCCGGATCCTAAGAACACAACTCACCAAAAACCCCTTGAGTGTCATCATCTTCATCCTCATCATCTTTGTTATGTTTTCCCTCCAGTCTTACTATATTCCTATTATTGAGCCAGGAGGTCTGGTTGGAGCTACTAATTCAATGCTTAAGTGATACTCATCCATCCAAAGGGCTGGTTGTTTTATGTATCTGTCCCTTCCAGGACCCTGATTCTTTTCCTAATAAAGATTGATGTTGCATGTTATGTCCCTGCGAAGTCCATTCAAGTCAAAATCCATTCATTGGTCTACAGAGGAGGAAAGTCAAAAATGGCCAATGAGTACCTGGAAAACAATGTGGTAGAGACTCAAATCCTGGATCCCTCTACAACCCAGGCTGTGTATGTCCCCAAGGTTATATGGCTTCTGAGTTAGTGTGCTCTGTTACTCTGGTAGACCTGGAGGAGGTGGCTCCCCTAGTATATTAGTCAAACATTTTTAGGCAGAAAACAGTATTACCTTCTTAGCTATACAAATCTATTCAAATTTAAAAATAATTCCCTTGGGGATAAACTGTATTAAAGAGCAGTAAAAACCTAGGAAGAAAAAATTGTCCTCATTTATGACTGATATTGGAGTAATATTTTTGATATATAAAGAAATCAGTAGAGAAAGGGGGAACTGATATTAAAGTAGAATTGTTATTAAAAGCAGTAGAAATGCCCTATGAAAAGCTACCCAAACCATAATTACCTACTTAGCCAGAACTGTGAATCCTATATAATAAAGAGCTAATATGCTAATTAGACCAAATAGCAGAACCACTGTCCAGACGAGCTTCCAAACAAAGCAGGGGGATGTGAGGGCGATCTGGCTGCGACATCTGTCACCCCATTGATCGCCAGGGTTGATTCGGCTGATCTGGCTGGCTAGGCGGGTGTCCCCCTCCTCCCTCACTGATCCATGTGCGACCCTCCCGAAGCTGCAGGCTCGGTCGAAGAGGATGACTTTCCCCCAAGAGGAGAGGACCAGTCTTCGGTCAAGGGTATACGAGTAGCTGTGCTCCCCTGCTAGAACCTCCAAACAAGCTCTCAAGGTCCAAACAAAGCAGGGGCTGTGAGGGCTTGCACAAATTTTGTGCATTGGGCCTCTAGCATTGAAATAAAATGGAAACAAATTTTAGCAAAAGAAAGAAACCTGATAGTTGTATTTTTGAAAAATATGTGCACTATATTGCTGTATTACTTTTTTAGATCTTCTATAACAGTACCACAAAGTGGATGGCTTAAAAGAACAGAAATTGCACTGGCCTGTGTTGCTCAGTGGTTAGAGCATTGGCCCACACACCAAAGGGTCATGGGTTTGATTTCTGATCAAGGGCACATACCTGGGTTACAGGTTCAATTCCCAGCCTCAGTCAGAGCCTGTGGGGGAGGCAACAAATCAACGTGTGTCTCTCACATTATTGATACAAGGTGAAAAGGAAGAGAGAGCAGACTGACTGGGGAGGCTCTTCCCCCAGCAATCACTTATCTATGATTCTTGGAATACCTGACCACCAGGTGTAGAAGAGACCCATCTGATTTCCAGTATGAGGACAGACCCCTGCCCCCACCATGCATCTGGGAAGTGAATCACTTGGTGGGAATTTGGGAAAGAAAAGGAAGGAACCCAAAGATTTGCTCAGGTCAATACCTTGGTCACCTCTCCATCCATATAACAGGAGTAGTAACAGTCAGGAGTATGAATGTAGGGAATGAGAGGCTCTGGAACAAGCATGTCAAACTCAAAAGCTAACACAGGCCAAATAAACAAGGTTTAAGTTTATGTGGGCCACAAAAACACAAAAAATTCAATTTTCATAGAAAGATAGGTTTATTTCCATAGAGACATGCTGAATACAAAGGGCTGAAAGAAGTGAGTCATCATTAACATAAAAGAATAGAACATTTTAATAAAAATTAATATTTTTCTTGAATATTAACTTACCAGACACTGAATAACTGCACAAATTAATAAGTGTAAAGCAAATAAACTTATTTTTCTTGTTCTCCTAAAGCAAAATATTTCCTGTTGTGCACAACAACCAAGTCAGTCCTAGATTAATGACGTGGCAATCAGCTGCTAAAATATTCACTGCTAGTATTAGTGAATAGAAATGGTGCACCTGCACATAAGACGAGTAAGGGAAATGAATGCAATCCTTTTATAGTAATCAGTCATTAGCAAACGTTGTAATTCATTATTAATAATTATGTATAACGGGATATTGTAAAAATGAAGTTACAAAATTTTTATTAAAACATTTCTTACATACCATTATATTGGCTGGGCCACAAAAATATTTGTTGTGGGCCACATGCTGCCTGCAGGAGGCAGTTCAACATGCTTGCTCTGGAATGTGGCAGCAGGAAGACCAGTCTCTTATAAAAAAAGAGATGATCTGACTATCTTCATCCCTCAACCTGCCTCAAAACTATCATTAGTATTAGCCATTAAACTTCAGCAGATTATTTCAGTTGTCAGCAAATGCTTTTTCATATTTAATGAATGTTTATCAGAATAGAACTAGTGGCCTGGTGCACAAAATTCATGCACATTAAACGGGGATTAATTAGAGGAAATAATTTAACATTGCTACTTGCCCTTTCTCTATAATAAAGTGTCAGAGATGAAAGAAAATTAGTAAAATGTATATTAAAACCTTCCTCCTGTCAAAGTCTGGGGTGCACCACAGGACCCAGAGTCAAGTCCCAGCCCACCCATATGCGCCTCAAAATCACATGAGACCCATACCTGCCTCCCCCCCCCCCCAATTGGGTTAGATCCAGACCCTGCCAGTCCCACACTTGTCAAGCTCTGTCTGGCAGGGGCATAGCCTCAGGTCCCCTGGCCTAGCGCCAGGATGGGGGGCATGGCCTGAGGTCCCCCAGCCCAGATCAGGGCAGGGAGCGTACCTCGAGGTTCCCCATCAAGACCTTCTGGGTGGGAGCTATGGCCTGAGATCCCCCATCAAGCCCCACTGGGTGGGGGCCGTGGCCTGAGTTTCCCCACCCAGCACTGGGGGTACACCTTGAGGTCCCCTGTCAAGCCCCACTGGGTGGGGTGCATGGCCTGAGGTCCCTGGTCAAGCCCCGCCAGGAGGGGGGGGTGGAGGTGCAACCTCAGGTCCCCTGGCCCAGCACTGAGAGGGGGGTGCAGCCTCAGGTCCCCCATCAAGCACTGCTGGGCAGGGGCGTGGTCTGAGTTATCCCGACCAAGCACTGAGGGTGCACCTTGAGATCCCCCATCAAGCCCTTCTGGGAATGGGGCAAGGCCTGAGGTACCATCAAGCCCAGCCAGGCAAGGGGGTGCAGCCTCAGGTCCCCTGGCCTGGTGCTGGGGTGGGGGGGCGTGGCCTGAAGTCCCCTGTCAAGCCGCACCTGGTGGGGGGGGGGTGTCCTGAGGGCCCCCAGCCTGACGCTAGTGTGGGGGATGCAGCCTGACGTCCCCTGTCAAGCCCCATAGGGTCAGGGGAGGGTGTAGCCTCAGGTCCCTGCTGATTGCTCGTTAAGGCTCCTTATGGGAACTTGGCCTCAGCTGTGGGTGCAGCCATTTTTGTAGCAGAGTGATGGTCAATTAGCATATTTCCTCTTTATTAGATAGGATAAGATGCACATGTTTATTAATAAAACTTGAAATTTGACCCAGAAGGGGGAAAAGGTAGATTATTTACATTAAATGGCCATGATCTGACAACTGGACTTCTTCCCAAAGATCTACTTCAAGGATCATTTTCAAAACACCAACTGTGTTTAGGAACACATATCTCCTCCTATCTGTAAAATTTTGAAACAAGCCAGAATGTTTCAAAAATGAAGTTGTATGGAGCCCCCCCAAAAAATGTTTTCTGTGTAGTGCCAGAGAACATAAACAATTATGTTTTATACTTACCCAGGTTGAAGTGTGTCTTTTAAAAATGAAATTCATACTTTTCAGTTCCTTGGACCACACTGATTTTTAAAAAGGAAATAAAGAGAAATGGTTAGGCTCTCCTGGCTGAGTAACGTTCCATTGTGTATACATATATACCATATATATTTTATCCATTCATTTGTTGATGGGCATTTAACTTGTTTCAATATCTTGGCTATTGTGATTAATATTGGGGTAAACATGAGAGTGCATATATCTCTTTGAAATATTCTTTTCACTAAAACATTTAACAAATGAACATGTATTAATCACTTAAAAATAAATAAAAATGCTTTGAAAAATAGTTAAAGAGAGAGAGAGAGAGAGAGAGAGAGAGAGAGAGAGAGAGAGAGAGAGAGAGAGAGAGAGAGAGAGAGAGAGAGAGATGGAGGTTAGGAAGCAGATATATAGCCAGAGAGAAGAGGAGAGAGAGCAGAAAAGGCCAAAGCCAGTGCCAAGAATGTGCTGTTGTTGGGGGGAGGGAGGTGCAGACCCTCCCTGGTAACCAGGGAACAACCCCCAATCATAGGGTGAGCCCTCAGAACGGAGAGGACCAGGCTGAGCGAAAGGAAGGGCCTAGCAGTGACTTGGAGGGAGAAGACAGGCTTGGGCAGTTGGGAGCGGGTCCAGTCAATCTCCTCTCAGGTCGGGGTGTGTGTGGCGGGGGCAGGGGGGGGGCGGGGCTGGGAGCTCTGGAGCTCCTCGGTGACGCGAGGCCTCACGTGACGGAGCTGCGGAGGCAGCAGCCTCGGAGCGGCGGCCGTCACTCCCTCTGGGTACCAGCTCCCTCCCGCTGCCCGCGCCGGCGGCTGGCATCGGGCCCGGATCAGCGCGGCGGGTAAGCGCCGGGGCGCGCGGGGCCGGGGCAGCGGCCGCCCCGCACCCCGGAGGCCGGCGCCGGGGTCAGCGCCCGGTCCCCCGGCCCCGTCCGCTCCGGCGGGCGGTCTCGGGGCTTAAGCGGCGGCCCCGTGGGGCGCGGGGCTGGGCGGCGGGTGCGGGGCGGGCGGCAGAGCCGCTTGGCCGTGGAGATCGCCGCCGCCCGGTGCCCTGGGAGCGCGGGGAAGCCGCTCCGCTCCGGGGAGAGACGCGGGGGGAGGGGGGGGGCGCGGAGAGGGGGGAGGGGAGGGACCTGGCAGGGGCGAGTCGGTGAGTAACGTTTGGCCACAGTCCCTGCTCCCTCCACCCCGGCCCTCTGCAGATCGGTGGGTCTGTGGGTCTGTGTCAAGTATCCAGTGG